GACCCCCCCACGCCGTGGGGTCACTCGGCTCTGTCGCCCCTTGGCTTTATCGTGCATCCCCACGGGTGGTTTGTGTGCCCAGGAGGAAGGTGCTGCCCAGGGGGGCCTGGGGGCAGCTCCTGCAGGCAGCAGCGATGCCCCAGCAGCTCCATGTTCCCACGGGAGTGGGCAGAAGGGGGAGGGAGCGGGAAGGGGGGGTTAAAAATAGCCTCTGATTCTCCCGGGAGGAGACACGGAGCCGTTCCTGGCACGTTTCCTCCTCATCCTGTCACGCTGCTCACAAAACAATCCCGAGTGAGGAAGGGGCTGGCTCGTGGCCAGGGAGCCCCTGGCATCGTCACCGCTCACCCCAACACCCTCCCAGTGTCCCCCAGTTTGCACCAGCAAAGACAGGCTCCGAGCCACAGAGGCACCGGCACGGACAGGGGCTGTTCACAGGGGGGTCTGGGAGCCACTGCTTTTGGTTACAGGCCCCAAAGTTAATGAAATTTGGGGAAATATTGTCTTCAGTCACCTGCCTAGGGTCAGCTGCCTCCCCAGGATTTTGGAGCAATTGGCATACGAACATTACACAGTGGGAAACACACTTGCTGAACCCCCAGCCAGCCCAGCCCCAGCAATCCTCCCTGGAGATCACTGATCCCAATGGAAAAGCCCCATCCCAGTGGAAAAATCCCAGCACAGGGAAGCTGAGGGCAACGAGGCAGCGATGCTCCTCTCACCAAGGTCCCATCACTGCCATCAGCACCCTCTTGCTGCACCCAGAGCCCCACTGCTGCCCCAGCACCATGCTGCTGCACCCCACGTGCTCACACCTCCTGCCCGGGCACCCTCCTTCCAGCCCTGATGCCTTCAGCCCCACCCCTGCCTCACAAGGGTGCTGGTGGGGCACAGAGACCCCCGAGGGTCTTCCCCACACAGAGTCATGGCCACGGGCTGCCACGCTGCCCTGGCACCCCGATCCCCCCGGGGTGTGTGTCCCCCCCTCACAGCCCAGTCGTCCCCAGCATGTCCCCATTGCACCATTCCCACTGCAGGCATAACAGGATTACACGGGCCACAGGAGAGGCTCAGTCCCTGCATGGGTAATTCCTTCAGCTCTGAGCCAGAACTGGGATCCCTGGGGCAGAGGGTGGAGGAAGGGAGAGAGCAAAACTCAGGATTAGGCTCTGCAGGGCTGGGATGTTGCCAGCTTGTTCTGCAGGGGTGTCCTGTCTCAGTTGGTACCCGTGGGACAGAGCTGGTGCTCCAGCCAGGTGCCACCATCGATGTCAGAACCACGTGCCAGCACTGCTGGCCCCATCTCTGGGGCATCCCTGGCCCCACATCCCAGTCCCCAGGGCACTGGCCCCACATAGGCTCCTGCAGGCTGTGGATATAAAACAGGCACCAGGCATCACGGCTGAGCTGGGCTGAGCGACGTGCCCGTGGCACAACAGGAACCCCCAGAAATTCCTTGAGGCTTTGGGGGTCTGCTCCTGGGGTTCAGCACAGGAGGATTTGGCTTCCCAGCAATCTGCTTTTTTGGTGTCTTTGGGGAGGAGTGGGGCTGGGTGTCATGATGTGCTCTGGCCAGGGAAAGGCAGAGGCTCATTCTGCAGCAGGCATGTGCCTGGGCACAAGGTCCCAGCCAGCCCTTCTTCCTCTGAAGAAGGAATTTCTGCATGTCTCAGAAACACCCACGAGCCAAGGTGATGGACTGAGACCTTCCAGGGATGCTCTGGATCCCCTGCCCAGGGGAAACAGGCACTTGACCCGCCGGTGAAGGGAAGGCAGCACAGCACAGTCCTTCCTTTGAAAAGGAAGGAGTATTTAAGGCAGGAGAGGTCACAGGCAGGTTACTGGCGACCGGCCCGTGCCTACTCAAGCACATCAGAAAGCAAAGCACGTGCAGGGCTGGCTTCTCTCCCTGGAGACCCATCCCCTGGGTGCCACGGGAGCCCCCACCCCGGGCACCCCACACCTCCCCTCGCCCATCCTGCTGACCGGCTCCCCCAGCACCCAGCGAGGAACTGGGGGTGTGGTAGGGCTGGTCTGGAGAAAACCATTCAGGCAACAGCAACAAAAAGGAAAGGAGGTGAGAGAGGAACCCTGCACTGAACAGGACTGTTGAGAAGTGTGTGACAGCACAGAAAACACGTTTGGGGGTGTTTTCACCCAAAATGTTCTGAAATCTGAACCAGACCTGAGCTCCTCCACAGAGTCAGGATGCAAAGCCCAGTTCAAAGCAGCCCCTTGGACACAGGGATGTTTCCACTCCTCCTCCACAGCCCCGAGCCCCACTGCAAGAGCAGCAGCCATGGAAGACGTTCACCTCCAACTGATCCAGCAAGCATGGAAAAAGTTTGGGGTTTTTTTTTCCCCTTATCAAAATCAAGAGTCCACCTCCAGCAACCCAGTGCAGATGCTGCCAGCCCCCAGCTCAAGGGGGAATGCTCCCAGGGGGAAGATGATGGGGAAATCATTTTGGGCAAAAAGATGACTCGAGGTGGAGAGATGGGGATCCAGAGCTGGACGTGAGAAATCCACCCCCCTCATTCATCACAAGCAACCTGTAGGACCTATTCATTTCTTGTGTAGTTCTGCCATTTAAAGCCATTCTGTGTGACTATCTCTTGACCAAAATAAACCCCGTGCTTGCTTCTAAATTAGAAAAAAAAAATTAAAAAAAGTTCTCAAAGCATTTCCCCTCCTGCCACACCCATAAATTGCAACTATTTTCTCTGTGTGTCCTTTGTTCCAACACAAGGAGCTCTATCTAGCTTGTAAGATGCCCCATGGCAGTGGGGAGATGGGAAAGGAGAGTTCTTCAGCAGCTGAAGAATTTGCAACGAAGCTCCTGCTCTAAACTACGGCCCCGCCAGCCACAGAATTTAGATGGGAATTTTTCCCAAGGAATAAAGAGGTTTAAGGCATGGCCACATGATCCATCCCGAGCAGAGGGGCCGTGGGGAGCCCTGTGGGTGCTTTCAGCTCTCCTGGGCAGCAGAGGAACACGTCTCAGCTGAAACCACTGCACCCAGGCGGGAGCCGGCGGGTCCTGATCTGCCCTCCAGATAAGGGCTTGTTTTTCTGGCACGGTGCTCAGCACTGCCCTTTCCCTTAGCAGGCACCTGCCTTTGCAAGATCTCTTCTGGATGCCACCACCCCTGCTCCTCAGGTGGGGAAACTGAGGTACAGGGAGAGCAATGTCCCCGATGAGGCAGATGCAGATGGCACGAGCAGGGCACAGGCTTGTTGTGACCTTCTCCAAGGTCACAGGGGAAACTGGAGCCAAAGCTGGGAATAGATCCTGGCTATTGCAAGACCCAGGCTAGCATCTTGGCTTCTCAGTCAACCTTCTCCACATGTTTTTCCCCTCCCGGCTCCATGACAGCACTTTTTAACTACTATTCATCTTTAATAAGGCAAGAAAACATCTTTATCAAACATTTGTCCCCATTCTCAGGCAGCTGCATCACACAGACCAGTGTAGGCAAGCACCAAAAGTCCCTAGGCAGCTTCATTGCTATTTTCCAACCCTTTGGTATTGTTGGGGCCAGAATTCTGGGGCTTCAGAAGCCTCCAGTTTGGACCAGCAAACATCCATGAGTGGTGTCAGCCCCAATGGGCAGGTCAGACCCCCTGGGAGCTGCAGTGGCCGAAAGCATCTGACCCCCACCAGCCCTGGTGATCCTCTCCTGTGCATGTTACCACCCAGTGCCCAGGACTCTGGAAGCACTGCAGCTTGGCTGGGGGTATGTCTGCAGCTGCCTGCTGGCTCCTCACAGCTTTTGCTGATAGGGCAATATCAAGAAGAGTTGTGATTTTAACATTTCTAGACCGCAAAATGTCCCAGAGCAGAAACAATTACCACAGTGCAGCAGAGCTTTTTTTTTTTCCCAGGATAGCTCATTTGTACCAGAATAAACTGTACCAGCATAAGCTTTCGCCAGTCTAATCTTCATTTGTGCTTAAGAGGCTTTGCCAGTAAAACTACAGTGACCTAGCTCTGCTAGAAAACCTTTTCTTGCATATCCAGGGAGTTTACTCAGCAGCTCGGTGGCTCCACAGTCTGGGTCTGAGAGAGGGGAAGTTAGAAAAAAACATCTCTCAAGGCACAAACAGAGTCCCAGGGCTGTGCTTTTCTGCAGCCAAGGGGGGTTGCAGACCCAGGACACAACCTCACAGCCCACCCGAGTGGGATCAGAGGGATCTGTGGGCACCAAGGGCTCCAGGGACCCACCCCGGTGCGAGCACCCCCTGCACCCAGCCCTGACGCCAGCCCAGCTTTGGAAAGCTGCCTGCAACCCCTGCTTCTGCTTTTTAACTTTCCCTCAGCACCTCTTCCTTCTTAATCAGAAAGCAGATCAATTCTGGGTATTAAACAGCAGGAAATTCTAAATTTGGGTTGCCACTCCCTTCCTCAAGTCAGCCCTCTGTGCTGGGGCTGTGGGGCCACGTTCGGAAGGGAATCAGGACCAGCAGCTGAGATCAGGCTTTAGGAAACCTCCTCCTCCTCTGCTCTCAAGTGTCACTTGGGTGTTGACCAGCTTCAAAACTTTGACACCCAAACGCACGTGAATGTGCATGTAAACAGAGGAAACTGTTCCTTCTTTCAGTGCCTCTGCGGGGGGTGAGCTTCCCAAAATAAACCTGGTGGTGAGAATGACTTGTCCATTGGCTCTCATTCCTCAAAAGTAGAACAGAAAATCTCCTCTGTGCTTCCTCCAAGGAACCTCAAATGATGGAGGTTTCCACCTCACCCTCCTTCCACCCTTCCCAG